AAAATTTTAATGTAAAAGTACAACATTTGAATATGACAAGATCCCTTTAATCTCAAAATCAAGCATTGTCCGGTTACTTGCATTTGTACTGAGACTAATTAAACTTATTCTTAATTAGGAAGCAACTTAATTGTAATTTAGACCAGATTAAGGTGCTCTTATTGGTTACAAAAGAGAATTAGCAATCACAATCATTAATTTGGTCAGAAGGACTTCAATATCACATGAATAATTGTTTAATTGAAAGTTTTAAATCACATGATAGGGACTTGATAACAATTTTACTACTTAACAGTTGCATTTACAATTATTTATGTTTCATATATTATCACTTGGAAATGCATAAAATATTTATTTAATCATATTGGTAGACCACACGCCTCCTAATAAAAAAAAAATGAAAAGAAAGGCCAACAAATTAAGAATGTTCGTATACAAAATCGTTTCATTTGGTAAAATCCTTTGGTGGCAGATTTTTTAACATATCTTTACAAATCTCAATTACTCGAGCCCTGATTAGATGATTTTAAACAAAATGAAATAGTTTTTTTTTTTTTCTTATTTTCTGGCCTCAGAAAAATAAATGAAATAGGTTTCAAGAAGGAGAGGAGCCTTTTTATCATCCATTTTCGAAAGGGGAAGTTTCATTTATTTATTTTTTTATCATCTCTGGTCAAGGGTGGTCTTAGGTCTAATTAATTAAAGCAGCTTGGGAGGTCACTCAGTGCTCAATGCAACTTGGGGGGTGATCTAAGGGCCAAGTTGAATAAGGACTAAGGAGGTTACCTAAGTTTTGACTTTTGAGGCGGTTCAAGGTCTTAATAGCATATTTGATTTGAAGAAGATAAGAGGGAATGATAGGAGAGAGGAGGGAGTAAGGAAGCTTTCTTTATTTTACCTTTCTTTTATTTATTCCCAATCCTCAATTTCTTTCAAACCTAAGAGAAATGCTATTTGCCCATACTGAGGGCACATAGCATAGCACAATTCTTCAATCTAAACATGCTCTTAGCTTGTTGGCGAGTGAAAAAAAAAAATCTTACATTTTGAGTAAATAATTTAACTAATTAAGGCATAATAAAGAGTTTTTAATCATATTTAAAAAAAAAAAAGATTAAACCTCTATTTTTTCAAACTAAACATATTGTTAAGACTTTAGGGGAGAAAGAATTAAGTCAAAAATTTGTTCAAGATATGTACCAATTCTTTCGCCAAAAATTTGTTAAAGAAATGTACCAATTCTTTCGCCAAAAATTTGTTCAAGATATGCACCAAAACAAAAGGCCCATCCAAGAGTTTTCTAGTTATTTTTAGAGCGAAAGTCAAGTTATATACTTTAGCAATCAGTACTGGTACTAGTACTAGTATTAAACAAGTGGGGATGCATGCATCCAAAAAAAATTAAACAAAGTGGGGGAGGAGAAAATTAAGATGCACGCGGCAGCTCTAAAAAAAAAAAGGGGGGGACAATAAAAGAAAAGCAAACGCAGGTGGGCTCCAAATGAATAAAATGGTGGCACGTAAACTGGTGAGAGTGGAGAAACCGCCTTCCGCGTTCGTCGGTCGATGGCTGTGTCTTTTTTATGACTTTTTCCCCCCGTTGATCCAAACCAATGCGGTTGCCGTCAAATTATTTGGCTGATCTCTACGCAACTCCCCAAATCTTAGTAGTATTAAATAAAAATACAGAAAATTAAAGTACAATTTATTCTATCCAAATCACACTCAACTAAATTATAAATGATAAATGGAGAGGGGTTGGTATTAGGATTTTATTTTTTTTATAGGACATGTGAATTGATTGAAATTTTTAATAAAAGAAAGAGGTAAAAAAAAAGAAAATAAGGGTTTGAACCGTTAGTATGTGTAAAGAAGCATTTTATGTTAATAATTTCACTAATTATTTTACAAGCTTTTTTAAAATTTCATCCTTTTATTGATACTTAATAGTTAATTATTTTATAGTTTGAAAATTGCGAATTGTAAAATTTGCTTCTTGCAAAGTATTTTATTTTATTTTTGTTTTATGGTTTTTTGTCCTACAATTTCTAAATTGCCTACCCTAAACATGTTTGATATAATGGTTAAAATTTCGTGGATAAATGATAATAGATGAAATTATTAGATAGTAGATGATGAATAGTGAAAAATGAATAAGAGATAATAAATAATGAATTTTAATTCATATGATTGTTTGGTTATATCATGGCTAACGATTGTTATTTAACGTTAAATAATTAAAATGGATATATTTGAAAGTAATTAAGTATATTTTTTATAATTAAAATTGTTAATTTTATAAAAATAAAAATAATAAAATAAATAAATAAAATTATAATAGCATATTCACACACTTATTTTTATTTTTAACAAAGAAAAACTTATATTATTTTTAAATAAAGAAAAAATAAAATTTTAATCATTTTGTTTAATTAGAAAATTTTATTTATTAAGTTAATATAATTTTTTATGATAAATTAATGTAAAAAATAAAAGTATAATAATCACGTAATATTATTAAAGAGAAAAAATAAAGTTGAAATTAATTAAGTAAGTACTAATTAAAAACAATGACAAAAAAATTAAAAAATTAAAAAGAATAAATTTGTCAATAAAATTAAAATATTTTAACTTGTTATCAATTTGGGATAAAAAAAGTTACCTAAAATAGTTTAAACCTTAACTACTATCTGTTAGTCTTAAATTACTAAATAAAAATTTTCACTAAGCACCTAATTTGCAATAGTTTCAAAATAAATAAATTTATCAAACACATATTCTTAACGATTCAGATAAAATCACATATTACTATTCTCCAATTGTATACTAAACCGGTTCTAAAATCAAAGGGGGAGTTGAGATTTCCACGCGTAAATCGTGAGATCGTAACTTAATTGAATCTTAAGATCGCATCCATTACAGTTTGATATTCATAGAAAGTGTCTGCCTTCTTCATCAAAACTGGGGTCCTCTTGGTATTCGATGAAGATATGAATCCCAAGAATGGCCAACCTCGGAGTTGGTTAGCTTGGCTAGAGCATGCATCTGCTTTATATTACCACACCTTGTGATGTGAGTCATATCAGCTCTGGTAAACCATCCTAACTAGTAATAATCGATAAGAACTTGAGCCCAATTAGAAGTCTCGGGTTTGAGCTTTAAAATAGGCGGAGAGTGTTAAGAGGACTAGGGAGACGAGCGGGCCGAACAACTTGTATAATCCGTCATTGTTGCTGACACAAAAAGGGAAATCCATCAAATCCATCCTCACGTGCACGAAAAATAAACTTTGGAATTTGGATGATATAAATAAGAGCAACCTGACGAATTTTGAACTCCTGCCTCTGTTCTGCAATAGTATTTCCAATCCCCCTTTTATATATATATATATTATATATATATAATTTAACTTCTAAGACAAAAAATTTAAGTGAAAATTTAACATAACAACCATATGTGGCTCTTGTTTGGTAGGTTTCATTTTTTTTTTCATAAAATT